AATAATCTCTGACAAATTCCCAGGACCTGGCATGTGATTAGCGCTCACTAAACGTAAGCTGTTATTAGCGTTACTTTTACAATCCTCTAAATGCTCCAACACACCTGTACTGAAGAATCTCAAAGCCACATCTGTCTGTGACTGAGACAACGGGATGGGAAGAGGACATTTCAGCAAGAAGATGTCCATCCCCCAGTTGAAGTCCTAGACTCAGGATGGGACCCCAGGTTTGGGGGATAAAGGTTGAATATGACCCAGTCCCAGATGCCTGCCTGTCCTCAACTAGCGCAAGTTATGTCATTCTCAACTTCCTTCCGCTAGACTGAACAAAGCTCTCACTTCCAGAACCTTTTCAACATTTTAATTGAAAATGCAATATATACATATTGTTTCCATATTTGTACTGATTCGAATCTACCTTCGTCATCTTTTTCTATAATCTTATTCTTTTTAAAATCTGCCTAGAATCCTTGATATGGCTACAGCACAGATTTAACCAGATCTCTCTGCCAACCATGCAATACTTTTCTAGTCCCTTCCGGTCTTTAGCTGTGGTGATGAACATCTGTGTACATACTGCTCTTTCTGAGGTAGAAAATCATCTTACCTCTCAAAGTGGGAGCCCCAGAGGCCACTTTTGTAGTCATGTGTGAAAACACTGGGAAAGGAGCTGAGGACCCGCATTCCAGTCCTGGTGCAAGCACTGATGTCTTTTGCCCTCACACGCCCTTCACATCATCTATCTGTGTGACACACGTTCCTTGCTTGTTAGGCAGTGATAACTGGACTGGCTATAAATTGCCTCCCAAAGGCATCGAGAGGCAAATAGAATGTTACACGCAAGTGTGTTTTGAGTGCAGTACTGACCCACGTCTCACAAGTCTCTCCTCTGGTTATTTACTGATCCCACAACTGACATGTTGTTCAATGACTGGGCCAGTCAATCTTCAACACGGCGCCTGCCACACCCAATGCCCCTTCTAAGGGAAATTGATTTTACACACACACACATACACACACACACAGCCCTTGCTTATAGGCCTCCTGGGGCAGCTGGGCACTACTACCCTGTACGTGCCTGCCTTCTGCTTCTCCATCACTGACTGAACTGAACTGGGCACCTTCCCAACAGATGGCCCCATAGCTAGAATGGAAGGTTCTACCCAGAGTCATCCCAGCTCCTTCTGATTCTTGCTCTTGGGGAAATCTACCAGGAAATCATGAGTGACCAAGATAGGACAAACACAGAATGCATGGAGAGAGACTGCAGGAAAGGCTATTAGAAGTTGAAGTTATAAATAAGCCAAAATTGGGAGGAAGCAGAAACCTTACATAGACTGAAGTTATAAAGTAGGAAAGAAGGTGAGGAAGAAGGTTGGGGAGACGTGAGAGACACAGAAAGGCAGAAACACCAGAACCAACTGAGTTCTGACAGCGCAAAGCGTGTGAAGGTGCACCAGCTTTGACTGCTGTATCCAGCATGTCCCCAGGAGACCCAGTCACCCCACGTCCCTGCCCTGTCTGCATCATGCTCTCATGGGGCCTTACTGATGAAGGTTAAAAGCAGGAAGTTTGGAAAGGAAGCACCACAGGACCAGAAATCTGGCTCACACAAGGCTAAAAGCCGGAGGTGGGGGGTAGAAGTGATTAACCGAGTCTTTAAACCAGCTATAGAAATGAAAAATCCTTAGGTCCTGAATGTTATCTGACTGCTAAAGTATCCTGAGGCGCTGATAAGAGGTGGGATATGGAGACTGAGGGCTATTCTAGAGAATCACTCGTCCTTAAAAATCAGCCTAGTCATGCCCTAGACGTAATTAGATTAACAAAAGTTAACAACTCCACAAAGGAATAAACTGCTTCCATAGAAAGGAAGACTAGGTGCAATTTCTGCACTGGCAAGAGGCAGCAATCCTTCTGCCCACCGGTGCCGATGCAGGTGCCCCTCATCGCCAACCTTCTCAACTTTGCAAAACAGCAGAGGTAGCTCTCCTCGACAGGCTACCCGCCTGCGACCATGCAGGCCTCTCTTAGCAAGCGTGTCCCTCTCAGGGGCAGCTCATTCTGCCCGCTTGTGACTGTGCAAGCATTCTTTACCCTTCCCATCCTTTCACAAAAAACCTGCTCTTCTGGAGATATATATCTTAAGTCAGATATATATTTACTTATATATATATATTTATATATATATAGATCCCTAGATAAATTTGAATTTCAGATAAACAAGGATTAATTTTGTTAATATAAATACATTCTATGCAATTTATTTATACTAAAAGGTATTTATCTAAAATCCTGATTTTACTGGGCATCCTATATTTACCTGGCAACCCTCTGCCTAGTGCTGGAGGCAGGATCAACATCTGCAGCAGCTGTGAGAGAGTCGTGTGGTCTCCATCATAATGCTGGGAGAGGAAACCAGGATTCAGCTAAAATATGTGTAATGTGAATCTTAAGCACTTTCCTCTCTCCACTGATAAACACACCCCTACAATAATGAACATGATGGGTGGTTATAATTTACTTAGCCTCTCTATAGGCAGATAGTGGGCAAATACACAGTCTTATTTTCACATCAGTGCTGCTATGTAAGGAAGCAGCTAAATTCTTATCCCCATTTACAAATGAGTACTCTGAGCATCAGACAACTTTCTGAAATAAAAATAAAATTGAAATTAAATTTCTAAAAGAGCTTTCTTTTGGACACATACCTAGAACGAGGAACAAAGCTAGAATTCAAATATAGTCTTTTCCCTTTTCATAATGGAACCCTGCCTCCAACTACTAAAAAATGATTCTTGTCATTCTCACAAATCTGAAGATGCAAAGTCTATCCTCAGCCTTCCAATATCTTTGTTGGTCCCCCTCAATACTGGGGCTTGTATCAGTTCGCTAGGGCTGCTGTAATAAAAGTACCACTAAGTGACTTAAACAACAAAAATGTATTGTCTCACAGCGTGGAGGCTAGACGTCCAAGATCAAGGTGTCGCAGGGTTGGGTCCTTCTGAAGGCCATGAGGGAAGGAGCTATTCCAGGCCTATGATGGTTAATGTTATGTATCAACTTGACTGTGCCACAAGATACCCTAATACGCTAACATCTAGTTAAGCATGATTTCTGGGCACTGAGTCTGTGAGGGCATTTCCAGAAGAGGCTAGCATTTGACTTGGTCACTAGCTAAAGCAGATTACTCTTCCCCATGTAGGTGGGGATCATTCACCCTGTGAGGACCTGAAAAGAACAGAAAGGCAGAGGAAGGTTGAATTGGTTTGAGTTGATAGCTCATTTGGCCTTGGACTGGACTTATAAAAATGGCACACCTGGTTCTCAGATCTTCTGAATCCATATTTTATACCAACAGCTTTCCTGGGTCTCTGCTTGCAGATGGCAGATTATGCCACTTCTCAGCCTCCATGTTCACATAGCGAGTTCCTTACAATAAATCTGATCATATATAATCTATTGGTTCTGTTTCTCTGGAGGAGCTGACTCTTACCAGGCCTCTCTCTTTGGTTTATAGAAGGCTATCTTCTCCCTCATCTTCATATCATCTTCCTCCTGTGCATGTCTGGGTCCAAATGTCCTCTTCTATGAAGGACGTCAGTCACACTGACTTTGTAGCTACCCTAATGGCCTCATTTTGACTTAATCACCTCTATAAAGACCCAATTTCTGGGCCTCCCCGGTGGCGCAGCGGTTGAGCGCTGGGTTGCGAAGCTGCGCGCGGCCTCTGCGGCGCCGGTTCGATCCCCGGCTGCTCCCCGGCCACCGGAGGAGGGTCCCACATGGCGCGCAGACCTCTCCTGCCGCCCGCTGCTCCCCTCAGCAGTGTACTTCGGTCCTTCTGCCTGCTCTGCTCCCCGCTCTGGCTCTGGTGAATTCTCTCGCCCTCCCGTGCTTCTGACTGTACCCAGTGCATGTATAAACAAAACAAACAAAGAAACCAGCAAACAAATAAATAAAGCATGCCTCTATAAAAAAAAAAAAAAAAAAAAAAAAAAAAAAAGACCCAATTTCTAAATAAGGTTATATTCTGAGACAGGGGTTAGAATATCAACATATTTGGAGAGGGGGCAATATAGTCCATAATAGGGTTTGTAGAGCTAGTTAGTTTATTGCAACACAGTCTGCCTTTAAAACAGGAACCCAAGGGAATGGATTTCAAATGATGGAATTCTGGATTTCAAGTGGCAGAATTCTAGCTTTGAAATTATAAGAACAGTGAGGAGCAACCTCCAAGCCAGTGGCTGGCACTCATAGCCAACTCAATGGTAGAAAATGGAGCTTTCCAAACCCCACCCCTGAAAGGGGAAGGGGGCTGGTGGGGTAAAGGGGCTAATCTGAGGCTTTTGGCAGTTAGAACTCTGCTGGGACTTTGACAGGTAAAATCTGCTGGGGCTTGGCAGTTAAACTGCTGGTAAGGTGCAGTGTCTATGGAGAAACAACCAGCTTGTTGCGTACGACTTCAGCTTGGACCTTGGTTTCTGCTCAGTGGATGTTATTTAGAAGGAACAGAGGGCATCTGGTCATATGCCAGACTATCAGTACTCTCTCTCTCTCTTTCTCTTTCCCTCTCTCTTTCTCTTCCTGCATATATAAATCTTGTTGTTTCACAGTGTATCTGCTTGTGGTCATATCCTGACTGGAAAGCATTCAAGTGAGGACCAAACTCACAGGTCAACCCAGTTACCCCCAGGCTGTCCTGTTTCAAAAGCAGACCCTAGGGTGGCAGAGGCCTACCCTAAAGTTCTTAATAACACCTCATAGGTGTCACACCCTCTAGCAAAGGGACCCTAGCAACTGATAGAATATGGATTATTGTGAGGACCAGGGATTGTGATGGTAGCCAGGCTGTGGAATCTGGTGAGGCTAAATATTACTGCCTCAAAAGATGTCCTTTAGTCCCAATTGGCAGCACTGTGGTTTTCTGAATGGCAACAGAGGACATGGAGATGATGGAAACCCGGGGGGCAGGAGAAATCTGCCCACCCTTTCCCAAGATGGTGCCTGACGACCCCATGTCTGAAGGGAAGTCCAGGGCTTCTTTGGTAAGGGGCATGCCTGGTCTCACTGTCCCAGGCTGTTCTGGAGGGGAGTGGAGGAGTACCCTGGGGGCAGTGATAGGAGCTGAGTGCTATGACATTTCAGACAGCTGCCAAGAGGAGCAGGTGAGGAGTGCCCCATCCCCACAGTTGGCACCCAGCTGTAACCAGGGACCCAGGGGCCCAGTATAGGATTGTGAAGTCACTTAAAGCTGGCTTTGATCCCTCCTATTTACCTCCCCATTTAGGGCCTCTTTCTCCCTCTGTGGATGGGTCCCAGCTCCCCCCACAACCCTTTTGTTGGTTGGGGTACGTTTAGGTTCTCTTAAGGAAAACCAGGGTTTCTCGCCCCATAGACTTGGGTGTCTAATCTGAAAGTTAGATAAAGTGGGAATTTGAAAATCACAGGAAGTCAGACTTCTACCTCAACTCCCCAGCACCTCCCCTTGCACCTTTAGGTGCCATTCCTTTGTGTCAGTTGGGCCTCTGCTTAACACAGGTCCTGATAACTCGCTGGGGGTGCATTTCTAATATCAACGCAGTCTAGATCTTCACAATTCCTGATACTTTCAAACACCACTGTCCTCAGGAACATGGAGCCAAAGGAGAGCATCGGGGAGGGTTGGTGGTGGGGGCAGCACCATAGTGACACCTCAGTGTCCTCTCTCTCTCTCCCCTTCCCTCCTCAGGAGGCAGAGTCCCCGAAGCCGGACTCCTCCTACGACCACCTAGAGGAGATGGAAACTTGTGAGGACAGAGGCTGCCCAGGGCCACCAAAGTTGCTGTCCCCCAAGGCTGGCACCACCACCAAGGGCCAGGCGGGCGATGGACCTGAACTCACTGAAATGCCTACAGCCCCCGAGACTCCAGGGAGCCCCGAGACCGAGCACAATGCCGAGATGGAGCTGGAGAAGGTGCGCATGGAGTTCGAGCTCACGCGGCTCAAATACGTACATGAGGAGAATGAGCGCCAGAGGCAGCATGAGGAGGTGATGGAGCAGCTGCAGCAGCAGGCGACACCCCACCTGGTAGGTGTCTGGGAAGTTTGGGGCGTGGGCTGTTGGCCAAGAGGTGCCAGGTCCAGCCCTGGAAGGAGGGTGGGGGGCTGACACTGGAGGCCAGAGAGGCCGCCCCTGATTTGTCCCAGGAGTCTACACTACCCTTCCAGCTGGGTGCTTCCCCAGCTCCAGAGATGGACTACTCAGGGCTCTAGTGCTTCCGTGCTAAGCTGAGAACCAGCTCTTTAAAGAAAGTTGACCCCAAAGTGGACCCACTGACCCAGGATTTTCCTCGTTTGCATGGGGGAGGCAGGGAGGGCCTTCAACATTTCCCCGGTGACTGGATTTCTACCACTCTCCATTCCTCTCTATGTCTTAAAATATGATGCTCAGAACCCCTACCTGCAGCCTGACCAGTGGATTTTGCTGGAAGCATTACCAGCCCTGATCAGGGCTACATGTGTTCTGTGGGATCACACGCCTTGTTGTCAATCAAAACCGAGACATCCTTTGGCAGGAAATGGGTTACTCTCCCCTAATTCTGTCCTAAATGGGGATAAGAATGCCTGCTTGCTATTAAATGGGATGTTAAGTGCTTAGCACTGTGGCTGGGCCATCACAAGCATAAATAATGAAAGATGTTATTGTGTAAAGTAGTGCTGTCTGGGCTTTAACATCCGACAGCTCTGGGTTTAAATCCTGAGTCTCCCACATATAAACTTTGTGACTTGGTTAGTGATCCTCTTTGAGCCTGGGTTTGCTCTTCAGTAGCACCTACCTCATGGGGTCATTGTGAGGATGAAATGAGAACACCAGTAAGATACAATGCAATGAGCCTGGCATATTAGGTAAGTGCTCAATAAATGTTAGCTATTCCCATTTTTATGTATTCATGCAGTTCACTTCTTGACCCAAATGCAACAGCTTACATTCATCACTTTTTGATTTTATTGGGATGTAATGTATTAGCTATGCTTCCCAGCTCTGACTCATTCTCAGTTCTGAGAAATTTGCCTTCTGCCTTTGTCCAAGTCATTGCAGTAATTGTTGAGGAAGATATGACCTCAAGGAAATACCACTAAACGATCTCCCTACAGGTTAGCAATGTTGCATTAATCAGCACCCTGGAGTGACATTTTATCCACCTCACATGTCTCTACCTTGTCCAAAATAACAACCCGAGACACACTGTCATGCAGTTTCCCAGAATTAAGATGTTACAACACCAATAGCATTTCCCCAATTGACTGGTGAAATTTTTTAAGAAAATGAGGTTAGTTTTGTATGATTTGTCCTCGATGAACACACGCTGGCTTAGCAATTAGCATTTAACTGAGACTTTCAGAATCCACTTTTTCCCCCTCTTTAATATTTTAGGAAATGTCTAAGATTCTGGCTCATTTATGGATAATTTTGAATTCTCAGAGAAAAGTTTCATTTTCAAACGTGTGGGTTTTTTCCCAGTATGCTGGGATAATATTTGTTACACGTTGGAGCCAGAAGCTGTTTAAAGCAGGTACAGTGTAGCCCGATGTCTTTAGTCCATGTGGCACCCTAACCATATTTCTTTTCCCTTTTTTTTGTTTGAAAATCTTTCTCCTTGCTGGGGGAGTTGGAAACCTTGGCATATAGTCCTATCTGCTCTGTCTTCTGCTTAAAAGACTGACTATTGAAAGTGCTTTGAAAAGACTAAGGGTTTCACAAATGCATGTTTTTTTCCCTCAAAAATCACAATTATCCCCCATCAGCATTTCAAGCTGAAATGGGGCAGGAAGTCTGTGGATCCAGGCCTACAGAGAGACATAGATCTGTCCAGCCCTCCAGGTTCTCCCGTGAGAATCCTGCTTCCTCTGGTCTTCAGCCTTTCCTGCTATTCACTTTACAGGTGGCAACATAGGGGTCATTTTCTGTCCCCCCCTCCTTGGTTATATCTAGTTGCTCTCACACCTTATTGTTAACAATGGTAAACTTTTAACAATGGTAAGCCCCAAACCCTAGACTTTGATAATAGTTTACAAAAGTGTTTTAATGTTTGTGCATTTACTAGGAGGTGGAGAGCTGCTTTTCAAGCTCTCCACCTCTCTCCTTCTGGATGGATGTGGGGGTTCCATGATTTTTAAAAATATTTTGAAGACTAAACCATGGACGATGCCTTCTTAATGACAGATCAAAATAGTTTTATCAACTCTGCCTGACTTATAGATGGATGCTTTCCATAGTTAAAACAGGGGTCCAGCGGCCCTCAATTATGTAGAGGCCAGAAAAGTGCAATGCAAAGGCAGAACCAGACAGGCACACACACTGCTTTCCCACACCCATCACTCTGAGGGCTGAGGGAGGGCCCCTCACCCATCCTGCACCACCTGTCCCCAAGGGAGACCAAACCCTGAGCCCCAGAATCACCAACTGACTCCATGTGAGATGTGCCAGGCCCCAGAAAGTGAGAAGTCATTTGTGCCCCAGACACCGCCTTTCACTGTGCCACTGTTTAGAAAATGAGGTTGAGTGTCCAGCAAACACCCCTGAGACCCAGCATCAGAGTAGGGAGTCTCAGAGACTCCCTGCATGGGACCCAGATGGACAGTGTGGAATGCAGAGGCAGGGAAGTGCTAGCTGAGTCAAGAGCGACAAGAGCAGTCTCGAGAAGGAAAACCCGTGAGCTCGCTCTTGTGCCAGTTTACTTTGCTAGGAGTTTTTCAGTTCGTGCCTCTTTTCCTCCTCCCCCTTGTGTGAGGTAGGCACTGAGACCCTCCCCTCTGTGGGGAAAACAACCTGCCCGAGGTCACATTCAAGAGGGTGTGAGAGCAGATGGAAGCCCCTCCTGGAGTCTGAGTCCTGGTTTTGCCAGCACCCTGTCTTCTTTCCCCCACAGTTCTCAGGAGGCCTCCAAGACCTCCTGCTCCCCCAGAACCAGTTTGCCATGTTCCTGTACTGCTTCATCTTTATACACACAATCTATGTCACCAAGGAGATGGTCTTCTTTCTCTTCTCCAAGCACTACCTGTTCTGCATCGCGGCCATTTTGCTCTGTTTGATTAAAACTTTGTGGTCCTACTTCCAAGTGCCTTGCTCTCTCCATCACTGGGAATCTCTGCACTATAGGGTTCTTAGGCCCTGATCCAAGTGAGCCCCAGACCCGTTCCTCCCACCCCAGCACCCCCTTCCCTCCCAGAGTGCATCCCTGCATCAGAACACACTCTCAGGGAAGAAAAGTCTCTGCTCTTAGTCATTTACAGCCTCGTGTGAAGAAAGGGATTCAGGCCTTGCACTGGGCCCGACTTCTCAGTGGGGATAAAGATGCTTTACCTCCTGACAGGAGGATTTCAGAGGTTGCCAAGTTAGGGAGGTTTCTGCAGAGGGAAGTTTAGAAAGCCTTTCCAGAATCACAGAAATCACATCTTGACCAGGCTGGTTTGGGATCTTATCTGAGATGTAAGGAGCTGTGTTAGGCTTTAGGGTAAGCCACTCCCTCCTCCCCCCACCAAGATGTTCATGTCCCAAAGCACAGAACCTGTGAATATGTTACCTTAGAGGGCAAAAGAGATTTGCAGTTACTATTAAATGAGGGACCTTGAAATAGAGAAGTGATCCTGGATTCTCTAGGTGGGCCCAATTGTAATCACAAGGGTCCCTATAAGGAGCGGGGGGTTACGTAAGAGTCAGAGATGATGTGACATGGAAGCAGGGGCTCGAGTGATGCAGGGGTACAAGCCAAGGAAGCTAGCATCTAGAACAGGCAAGAAAGTGGATGTTCTCCTAATGCTTCCAGAAAGAATGCAGCCTATTTTAGACTTCTGACCTCCAAGAACTCTACGAAATAAATATGAGTTGCTTTAAGCTACTGTTCATGGTCATTTGTTACAGCAGGAACAGGAAAATACCAGAGCCAAGACTCCTGGAGCTTGACAAACCTGGCAGGCCATTGGCCACAACAGGGTGCACAGTTTGGAGCCTGCCCTCAGGCAACATGGTTCTGAGAAAGATGCTGCAGCTCCAGGGGGCTCGGGACAAGCCCACAGGACCTGATGGGCGAAGAGTATCTCTTCTTCTGAGCATGCATGCTTGGGTGACACAAGGGTTAGCAAGATAAGATATGGACCTAATCCCAGAGACTTTGGGAAGGATATCTTTAGACTTTAGACTCCTGATGGGACTGAGAACAAGTTAACGATGCTGCCCCTAGTGTGTGGGGGGTCGGGGAGAGATGCTGATCAGGCTGTGTGGCCTGTCTTCTTTCCCCCACAGTTCTCAGGAGGGAACTTTCCACAGCTGTCTGCAACTGAGATGTATATGATTCTCCAAATAAACAGGCAGCCCACAACCAAAAAGGACAGACTAGGGGGCTCATAGGAGGCACAAAGTGAAGTTGCTGTGTGTGTGTTTGTGTGTGTGTGAGAGACAAGAAAACTCACACACATGTAGGGAGTGGACAGTCCCTCTGACCCTACCAGCCCCAACCAGGAATGATGACCTACGGCACAGGAGACTTTAGAGAAAGTAGGGCGAATGGGATGAGGCAGACACGGCAGTACAATCCATCAAGTCGTTCCTGACCCCTCCTCTTCCCAGGCCCAGGGCTCTGCCTCAAGAGGGACAAAAGAATAAGCTTCTCTCTCACTGGGCTTGCTGAGTGATACTTGGTGAGAACACGTGAGCGAATAGAGAGCACGCTGGGATTCGGCATCAGTAGGTAGATGAGGCCACTGAAGCCCTGGTGGCGTCTCATCACGCCACTCAATTCGGTGCATCCACCCCCATTTCTAGCTTCATGTGCCCCATGCATGCCTTCTGCTTTAACACCATCAGGGCCACAGGGGATAGCCATAGAGGCTAGTAGCATAAAAAGCCTTATTAATCCATTTACCCTACAAGCAGGTAAGCTGGGACCGGTGGGAAGGAGAGATCACATGGGACAAAAAGGTCAGATGGTGAGGTACTAGCTGTATTCAGGGAAAAAAAGGGTCACCCCTGCTCCAGTGAACGGTGGCACGCGTAATAACCTGGAAATCTGCTTTGGGGGCAAATAGTACAGTCTTGATTATCGGTCTGAATATGAACTTAATTCTTCAAGTATGGAATGCCTAAAGATTGTAGCGTGAGATAGGGATCACCACCTTCTCCCCCCTAAAAAGGGGGAAAAGTGTCCATTCTACATTTCTCCTGGGGACCATGATCTCTTCTTCCTCTCTCCAACCCAGGAATGTTGCTTTAAGGTCCCGAGTGTGAGGTTGGCATTTAGCTGTCCAGCCACTGTGGACAACCCAATAGAGGTTAACAGAAGTCCCAGTTGAGACAGGATGTGGCTGCTGAAACTGCCCTAGGGAGTCATCTCAGAGGACCCTGGCTTCTCGTTGCTCCGTCCTCAGCACGTGGATTTTATCCTCACACCCTGGCTTTCAGCCTCATGACCCCAAGACAGCTGCTGCAATTCCAGGTATCAAGTCCACAACTCCAGGTCAGAAAGGGGGTGAAAGATAAAGGCCACCTCTGAAAAAAGCTTTCCAGAAACACTCCCCTGCAGACTTCGGCTTACATCTCATCGGTCAGATGTGGTCATGAGGCTGCTGCTAGTGCAGAGGATCTGGGGTGGTTTTTGTCCTGGGTGCTTTTGTGTCCCTGAACAAAAATGAGGATTCTGATCATGTGTGGGTGGGAGAGATGGATGTTGAATAGGCAAATAACTGCATCTACCATACCCTGCTTTCTTAGGCCCCGCGCCCACTCTGTCCCCAGCTGAGCCAGACCTTGATGGGGGTTGAGGCCTTTGGGTGGGGCCCTGCTGGCACACTGCTGCACTTCTGTCTTAAGGCCTCATCCACATACCGCAGCAGGAAGGTCATGGTTTTCTCTGGACACTGGAGCAGAGTGTCCTTCTGACCTCTGTGCGAGGCCCCAAGACCTTACATAACCAGAGTAGCAGCCTTGTCTGGGGACTGAGGAGGACGTGCCCCTCTGTGTTGGGTGTCTTCAGCAGAGCTGCAAGAGGAGGCAGTTTGATACTCGAGTGCCTCTGTCCAGAGTCCCAGACCCCACAGAACAGTCCAGTGCCTCCCCATCTCTCCTGTCAGCTGCCTCATGCCGAGCTGCTGAAGACTAAGTGTAACACATTAACTCAGCTTTAGCCTATAGCTCTAATAATCATCAAGGGCTAACAGTAAATATTCAGCTTAACAGGTAAGCTTAGGGAGAGAAAAATGGAGGAATCTTTCTGCTCCCCTGAGCCCAAGGATAGAGGAAGTCCTGGAGAAAGATGAAATCTGGAGGAGGGCAGAGGCAGCAGCTTGATTCCAAAGGCTGCTGCCCTGCCATGTCTGTTTCTAATCCCACTTTAGCAGGTGACTGAAAGAAAGTTGGCTAAGCTCTCTAGGCTTTGTTTGGGTACCTGTAAATTATCTAAACTCAGTGCCAAAAAAAAAAAAAAAAGGACCAAAGCCCGATTTCAGAAATCTGACTTAATTGATCTGAGATGATGTCCCATTGATTGCAAAATGGCCACATATCAAAACTTAAATCCTCGCTGCCTTAGAATAAATATCAGATCTTGCAGTCTCCACCCCACACACACACACATGCACACACACAAAAGTTCAGATGCATTTTGACAGTGTCCCTGGTGACTCATGCCTGTTCAAGTCTGAGAAGCACAGCTCTGGGTGATGTGGCTCAATCCAATCCACCCTCAGCTGTGAAGACTCTGCTATTTTCCTGGGGGCCCTTTGGGGCAGGGATGAAGGGACACAGAGGCAAGATAGAAAACAGTAAGAAAATTGAGCTTGTGGTCCCAGAAGTGCCTGGGAGTCTCCATCAACATCTGGTGTGACCCTACAGAGGTGCCTCTGCGCTCCTTCCACTGCTCCTTCCTAGTCCTTGCTCCAGGATTCTGAGGAACCAAGGGATTTCACCCTGCACTCCGGGATTCACCAGAAAGTTCTGGAATCCCCCCAGCCTGTCTGCCTCTGTGCCTGTTTTGATCTGACTTCCAAGTATGTGGCTTTGGGAAAATCTTACTAATATACACTCATTCATTATTTAAAGATTGTCACTGTTCCTTCAGGAAGGGTAAGCATGATTAAAAGATGGGATTTTTCCACAGGGCACAGCAGAAAAGCTAGGGCTCCTGCATTTTTTAGCTGTTTTGGCCAAGCCTTGTTACATAATTTAAAGTCTGTGACTTATTTAGATTTAATTAGCCAGAGGAGCAGCAGCTGCAGGTTCATTAGTCAGTATTTATTAAGCACCCTCAGAGGGCTTGGTCGCTCTTAAGAGCAAAGTGGAGGATCAGCTTTGGCCTTGCAAATTTCCTGCACTTAAAGAGGGGATTCCAGGCAATGTCAGGAGCCAGATAGTTTTGTTTTTTAAGGATGGCAAAGGGATGGCATCAAAAGACCTGGAGTCCTGGAACAAATCTCTACCTACGACCTTCCCCTTGGCCATGAGTGGGTGATGTTAGCCACCATACAGGACTATAGTGACACCCCACATGATAGTGGGGGGTGCAAGCTATGGTAAATGCAGAGCTTCACAAAAGTATTCCTAAGAGGTAACAGTGTGTGGTGATACCCTCCCGATTTCAAGAACTGGTAGTGGAAAGGATGGACACTGGATCCAGGCCCAGTACAAAAAAAACAATGCAGAGTCCCCAAAACTAGTAATAGTTTTTGAATTCTTAAGAATTTTAAGGCAGCAACAGCAGAGCCTGAATCCAAGAGTGGACACCACCTCCCCCATCTCCTTTGTCCCTCCTAAGCACAGGGTCAGGGGCCTCCACCCAGGTGGATATCCCGTGAGGCTAACCCTAGAGGTGAATGAGATCCTCTGGGTGGGGCTTTGGGACCCCATGAGTCCCACTCTAAAAGAGACTTGGCTGGTTTATCACCAGAGGGAAGGGAGCAGATTCCATCTTGAAAGGGAGTGGGGGCCACTGAAGCAGGCCTAGGGGTGGAGGATGCTATGCCTAGTGGTCTCTGGGAGAGGAAGGGCCCCTCCCAGACAAAATGGGCCCCTAATGCCTCTCCAGCTCTGGAAGCAGAGTCCAACTGAACAGGAGGCACCTTTCAGCATGCAGGGCACGTTCCAGGCTTGCAGCTGCTAATCACTGGGTTAACAGAAGCCTTAAGT